CCCGTTTCTACTGGGAATTGTTAGAAACATATTAGAGGGGGAAAAAAACCTGACCCATATTATTCTTGGCTAAAACATCTCAATTTAATAAAGATAAGTTATTCTCCTAAATCAGCTGTTTCCTTATGAAATAAATATGTTGTCTTCCCTTCCCATTGCAAAATGGAAATCCACTCCAGGACTGAGAGACGTCAAGGTGCCCATGGTTGAAAACATGAAAATGACACAAAGGTACCAGCTGCCAACTTATTTGTGTTGGATGAAATGGAAGGCAAACTTAGAAAACGAGCACGCAAATGAATAACTAGCTCAGGTATCATATAAGTGAACATATTTTTATGTTTTAGAGTCTATAAAAAATACTTGTGTAGTTTCCATTGTTTTGTCAGAGGTAATATTAAGTCAGTGCTGTTCACCTAAAATTATGATTCACTACGCAGCCACAAAACAAAACAAAAAAACAGGACGTGGGAAGCTGATCCAGACTGACTAAATACTGAAGAATTAAAAACAGAGGTGGAAATAAAATCAGGTAAAACCCGCACTTGTCTTATTGTGTGAAGTAAATATGACGTTAGGCCACATGAATGTGAACAAATACCCTTCAGTCATTGCAATGATGAAAATGGAGCCCTGTTTACCAAATAAATTTCCATTTACCCAGAACCCATGAAAAAAGCATCATGTAACTCAATGATAAAGGCTGCATCTATAAGACTAAATAATCTAYAATACCTCATAAATCTGGAAAAAATTAAGTTTGAATTATTTACCATACATTTTTAGTACTTTACTGCATTTTATTGTCTTCAAATAAGGTGACAGTCTTACTAAATATTATATTGGTAGGTTAATGACAATCGTCAAAATATTTCAAACCTCATTCATACAGCCTAAATGAGAGTTTGGCCTAAGATTTTAAAATAACTACTTAGATTGTCTTGGGGAAAGCTCTTGTACTCACAGAGCAGAGGATTGTTGCTGGGGAAACTGCATTTTGCAGTCTTTTTCAATGTAGTTCAGCTACAGAAAAGGTAAGATGAAACTCTTTATTCCTAAACTAAGGCCTTCTGGTTTTTTGTTTTGTTTTGTTTTGTTTTGTTTTTTCCTAATTCCTTCACTCTTCCATTTCTCTGGTATGGAACAGACATTAATGTAGGGTTAAATAATTTGCTTCTTCATGACAAGGTCATGCAAAAGGAAATCAGAAATAGTGATGTGTGTCAGAATTCCCAAATCCCCTCTTCACTGCTTGGCTTGTGGAAAACAATGATCCTACTTTGGCTCAGTCTGTACTTCTCCTAAGTGCTTCACATGGTGAACTACTCTGGATAACCTTTATGTCCACCTAGAATTCAAATGGGTGGCAAGCACTCATTCAAAGAGTTGTGACTAAAAAAAAAAAAAATTTTTTTTTCACCTAATTTCATCCAACACAAATAAGTTTTGGGGAAAAAACTTTAAAATCTTAAGCAGAAAATTTTGCAAGTTTCACAAATAAAATCAAGCATTTAGTAGTGACAACTATCTTTATAATATTTTTAAAATAATTATCAATTATTTTTCAAATTCATCTAGAAGAAAATGTCCCATCAATGGCTTGTATCCATGTTAAACTACTTGAGGATCCATTTTGTGTTAGGGAACAAAAAGGAATATTAAATGGAGATTAGGGAGCTATACACACACACACACACACACACACACACACACACACACACACACGGGGAGGAGAGGGGAGGGCAATGTTACCCATATGTACTTTGCAAAATGCCTGGATAGCTTAATGGTTTTCCCTAGGTTAACAATGCATGTAGTTGGCCCTAATATTTAGTTTATGCTGACCTCATAACAAGTAAAATTGGCAGTAATCAAATTGAGAAAAATAAGTGAACCAAGTATTTTATCTTATAGTTATTCTACCTCTGGTTAATTATATCCAGTCAGGAAATTAATCAAAATGTTCAAAATTTTTTTGGCAATATGAAGGTGTCCAACATAATATATTTGCATTAATAATAACCTACTGCCTATGCAATTTTGTATTAATTATTTAGCCTTCTCCTTGCTCCTTCCCAAAGCTACCCATTCAGGAAAAAAAAAAAACTAGCAAAGAAGAGTTTTTGACTTCTATTTTCAGTCAAAATTTATGTACAGTGTGGACTTTTCCAACTTATACAATTTTAAGAATGTTTTAATTGCAATGAAAGTCTCATCTTGTTTTGTGTAAGTAGGGATATATACAGGAGATATTGTACAAAAGAGAAGCATCACCAATGAGCTAATCTAACATGAGGTAGTGAAGTGCTGTTTTCCAAATTAATATGCCAGCAACTACAGAAGAACCAGGATTTGTCAGAGACATTTTTTGATTTCAGAAGCAGTCAGGGAACCTGTTGGTACTAACTGAGTCCATCAATCCATCAGCAAAACTTGCTATCTATGCTGTGGCCTTGATCCCATACCCACTCCCTCCCTGCCCACGTGATTAAATTCTTCTTTCTACTAATAGCAACGGTCTAAATGTTATAAATATGTACTATTCTGGAAAGCTTAAAAATAGGATATTGAAGAAATTAAATAATACTGTTAAATATGCCCAGGAAATTCAAAATCCTGATAGAAGCATCAAATATACACCTAACTCTATTTTGCAGCAAAAGATTGTTCTTTTCTTCGGCAGTTTGTACAAAAACAAAAAGAACCATTCTATTTAAATTAATGTCTTTCCCCTTCAACTTGAAAATAACAAGCATGATACAAAATATTGACTTACTAAGCTTGACTCCTTGTAATAGGCTCACCTTATTTTCCTATTGGGAAACCTGAGGCACAGTTCTTAGGAGACACCCTCAAAGATACAGAAGCAGACAGAAATTGCAGCCTTACGTCTCAGGTCTGACTTTTTTTTTTCCATAATACTTTTCAGAATGAGTGCAGCTCTGAATTTCTGGAAACACAGTTCTTGGTCTTTGTAGAAATAAAAATCATCACATCTCAACTACATTCTGAAAATTTAAGCTGGGAAAAAAAGTATGCCCCACATTTACTAAATTTTTTAATAGAAAACTCTTCTCTCAACAGTGTTCAAAATCCAGGTGAATGATATGACATAGATAACAAGTGGTCTCCATCTTCTGTAGGCTCCAATTAGTGTCAAAACGGGTGTTTGGGTCAAAGTTCTTCCCTGTCATTAAAAAAGAGAGAGAGAGAGAGAGAGAGAGAAAGAGAGAGAAATTTGTTGGAAAAACAAGAATGTATTGAAATGTGTTTTTGTTGTAATACATTGATCTACATTCCTAAAATCACCAATGCTTTCTATTTTCCTTCTTTGGAGCACATCTTTTTGTACTCTGCTAAGTTACAAAAAAAAAAAAAAAAACTACAAGACCATGCAATGATTTCACAGAACCCTAAATTAAGTCCATTAACATTTTCTTGGGCTGCTTGATTTACAAGAATGATGAGACTAAGTAAAAACTGAAAATGCTGTATGGGCTATGTATGTGCCTCCATTTTTTCAAAGCCATCTTCCACCTGTGAACATCCTCACAAAGGCTGTAGAATCTGTGTGGAAATTCTTTTGTTTCACAAGATCTTCTTGTTTGAATCTCTGTTTCATGGATGTTTTTTGTGTATTTTAATGTGAGGCAGTATATCATAGAAATAAGCATGTCATCATCTGCTTATCCCTAATTAGGATGAATCCTTTCTTGGAATGTCTTGGCCAAGAGCTGATGTATTTTTAATTCAGGTAGCACATTTGGACAGGTGGTTCTGAAGGACTTACAATGGGTTTTAGAAAAGACAAAAACATCATTGATGTTCTTTCTGTTGCATACTACTGAAATAGATCCATGGGACATTTTCTGGCTAGAGATGCAGAAATGAATGAACATCCCAGTTTTAAAAGGCAAACACCAGTATTACTGCACTGACAGCTTTCAGCAAGGATTGGAAGCACTTCCTGGGAGCCAAACCAGATGCCTAGAGATTATTAGAGGTGTTTCCACCATGCATATGGATTTTAAAAAGCAACTTACTCAGTTTATTTTGATGGCCATTTGTTCTTTCTAGAAGAGAGAGATCATGAGTCAAGGGGGCTACCCATTGGAGAAAAAGTATTTGGAGCAAAAGAGCAGAGGATCATTTCGGGGCCATGACTATTATCTAACCATTGGACAACTTCTTTTACACACAAATCATTCTGGTGAAGGTAACTGACTAGGACCCATCCATGAGCAAGTACTTCTGTGAGGGCAGCAGTAGGACCAAACATCAATACCAAATTAAAAATCTCACCACTACAGTCAACTAATGCCCACAGTGGTCTCTTTTCAAGATAGTTTATTTCTGTAACCTAAGTCTTATTGTGGATTCTGGAGAACAAAGAAAAACTCGCAGGAACTTGCTCAAAATTCATACTGAGTAAAGCAAATGGAAAGAGACAGAATGAAAGTGCAATAATCTTGATAGAGGGAGGAGGTACACTTTAATGAGATTGTTATTCAAAGCATACTGAAATGTATATAGAGATGGAAAYGGAAGGATGTGCTGAAATATGTGAGGATTTATGTCTCCTCAAATRCCTTTCATAGAAACCATCTATGAAAATGGATGAAACCATCTATGAAAATTATGGCAATGGATTACTGGCAAGATCTATGCAGATAAGAGAGAAACTATGACATAGCTCAGGAATCTCTAGGCCAAAATAGATAAGGTCTTAGTCTGAAATCTTCTCTGTCACTGGCTATCATTATCATCTTAAGTAAATGTCTTCATCTGCCCAAAACTTCCTTTCCTCAATTAAGGAACATCCAACTTATACAGTAATTATAAGAAGTAATGAGATAATCCATATTTATATACATAAAGAGCTCAATAAACGTTGATGATCACCAAGACCTCTGTCACATGAACAGGAATTACATGCACATGCTGGCTGTACTACTCTAAGATCAGCTATTAAGATCAGGGGTTGGGGGCTATGGTAATGCTTACATTTGATGCTCTCTCACAAAAGCTGCAAACTCAGGATCATTGGCATACAGTTCCAAAATTCTCATTCTCTCTTGAATTTCCTTAAACAACAAAAAAGTCACATACTGCATTAGAAAAACTTCATCAGTCTTTTGGAAGATTTAATTATTATAAGGAATTGTGAGATTCTGGGCTATCCCGGGAAGAGCTATWAGAAAGCATTCTCAAAATGGAAGGTTCTATATGTACTATTAGATATTGCATGGACTACTCTAACCCCAGCATACATTCCCGAGAAAGTAAGTGGGGCAGGAAAGAGTATTTACTAATAATGGAAACGAGTCACTTGGTGGGAAATAAGGTACAGCTCAAAGTTGAATATTTTTGCATACCACATTGGCTGGGAGATATCATAAGGTGAGAATGAATTGTGAAATATTTTTCATTCTCTCTCAAAGCCTGTGCACATACACACACATACATCAGTAGTAGCAGCAGCAGAAGCTGTTCCACAACAGAAATGCAAAAGTTTCCTACCTCTTTGGAAAGGTTAGTGCTCTCATACATCTGTCTGATTTCTTCTCTGCTCAAACCACCAATCACTGCTTCCTTAGCAGAGCTGCGGAAGGCATGCTGAGCATAGGGTTCCTCATATTGATCACGCCTGGCCTTGCGGCTTTCATACACAGGGTTGCACTTCACAGCGTTCTCAATGGATGAGAGGCTGTCTGGCTGCCTGCTGGAGCCAAAAGAAAAAAGATATGACTGATTCAAGGTTTTTGGATGCTTTACTACTTGGAAGAYTATTTGGGATAAGATTTCTGATGGGGTAGAAAAAGAAAGGTAATAGACACAAATGGGGTGGGGTAACTGGGAAGTATCCAGATCTCAAAAATTATTTGTAAAGTTTCATCATTATTAGCTCCTCAGCTAAATGGCAAGCGTCCTGTGGCACTATTTCATTCATCTTATTTTCTCACAGTGCCTGAGATTCAATGCATGTTGATGGGAACTGTCTGTCAGTGGATACTATTCCATTAAACAAATACAACTGCATCATTCTAAGAGTTAAACATATCAAAAATTAGTGTATAACCACACTGAGACTCTGACAAAAATACAACTACAGGAAGATGGGAGCATCTGGGCTTCAAATTTAATTCAGGTCTAAAAATATTTAATGGGCATTGATTGTATACCTAGGACTGTTCTAGATGCTAATGAAACAAACAAACAAACAAACAAAAAAACCCTGAAATCTTTGCCCTGAATGAGATGATAGTCTGGTGAAAAATCAGAGTCAACAGGAAGCATAAGAACAATGATGGAAGTATGTCCTGGGTGCTCTAGGGACCCAGGAAGGGTACCTCCTTAGCCAAGGCAGAGGGAGAGGGAAGGAAGGATGCCCTCGGGTAGCGCTGGTAAACTCCAGAGCTGGCACTGTATCAATTACAACCAGGGACTATGATCACAAAACAACCCCAAGTGTCTTTGGATCCCTTGTCTAACACAGGGGTCAGGCTCTATTTCCCCCATTAATGAAGCCATGTTTMATTAAACAGAGAACCAGATTTCATTTCTTGTCAGATCCTTACCCAGATTTATAATATGGTTAATTACCCCTGGGTATGAGCTAAAGGAGAACAAAATGTAACAGAGCTGACCTTCGACAAGGGAAACTCACTTTTCCCATCTCATCTCCATCCATCCCGCTCCACATCTCCCCCACTACAAAACAGGCATTCCAGCCACGCTCAAGGTGCCCTTCCTCCAGAAGGCTCAGGCATGCCTCCCTGACTTGAATCATGCTCATTCAATTAGCTGAGAAGTCTCATCTACTCCCTTCTGTCTGATAAATACCACAATATTTAAATATCTTTAAAAGGCTCTCCCCGGGGGGCAAAAATTAGTTTATTCCTCACCTAGGCCTCTTAGCATCTCACTGATGGTGTTACTTATGTTTCTTTTCAATGTGAAACTCCTTTGAGGACAGGGCCCAAGTTTTATTCAACTTACAGCTCTCTGTCCAATATTTGATACATAGTAAATGCCAAGTGAATGAGTAAACAGAACATTTCCTTCCATCAGGGAGTTCTCTTCCTTATTTACCGGAAGGGCCGCTCTCCTTCTCTGGGGACATGCTGAGCCTGAAGAGTCTTGACAAGGAAGAAGATGACAATCGAAGAGACGAGGAGAAGTCCAATCACAGAGGCTATGGCGATGCCTATGACCAAGGGCTCAGACACAAACTCCTCACAGTGCTCACCTCGGTACCACCAGTTCTCACCCACCCGGCATCTGTAACAAAAGCAAACTCTGAATCACTTTGTTCAAAGTGGCAAYGAACAGCAGAACCTTTGGTAGGACTGGGGAAAGGTACACATATAAATGCCAATCATGTGAAGCTTCACTGAAGAATCAAATATATGGTCAAGAATGTAGATTAGTGGTTCAGAGCCCAACATGTGTGAGGACCTGGGTTTGATCCCCAGCACTATAAAAAAATAAATAAAAGGTAAAATACAGAATGAAATATTATTCAGCCTTAAAGAAGAATGAAATTATGGCATTTKCTGGTAAATAAATGGATGGAGCTGGAGAATATCATGCTAAGTAAAATAAGCCAATCCCCCCAAAACCAAAGGCTGAACATTTTCTCTGATATGCAGGTGCTAATTCACAATGAGGGTAGCTAAGGAAGACTAGCATTACTTTGGATTAGATAGAGGAGAGTGAAGGGAGGGGAAGGGGTATGGGGGCAGGAAGGATAGTAGAATGAATCTGATATTATTATCCTATGACATATATCACTACATAAAAGGTGTGATTCTACATCATGAACAACCAGAAGAATGAAAAGTTGCACTCTATTTACGTACAATGTRTCAAAATGTATTCTACCATCATGTATAACTAATTAGAACAAATTAAAAACTTAAAAAATAAATAAATAAACCTCATTTTAATACTGATGGCCTTATAATCATCACTGAAACCCCTAATACAGTTACTCTAAGTAYCTCAGTAGCACATATTTAGATAAAATTTTTAAAGTTCCAAACTTAAATAATAAACTAAACTGGGTATATAATTCAGGACTATTAAATGACCCAGTCTTTACAAGAGAATTAGGCAGCAACCGTCTACTGTATGGAAATAATTTCTATGATAAATATCATAAGGATTACCTTAAAATTATAGGTGTTAACCCCCCATTTTCTTCAAAAGTATCTATAACCTTTGAAGCCCAAATCTCTAATTACAGCATACCTACAAATGGCCCCATGCCCGGGCATAACGTCACACTTTCCGTCGTTCAAGCAGAAGTCAGGCTGTAGGTCACAGAGACTCTGACAAGGCAATTCATCCACACTCATGTATCCAGGGTAGCATCTGCACTTGGCTTCTCCACTCCAGGGGTCAACCAGACACTCAGAAAATTCATTGCAGGCCTGAAACTTGCAAGGATTGGCTTCATCACCTAAAACATCAAATGAACCAGAAAATGATACAAGGAAAGACAAAGCACAGGAACTGGGGTATAGGAAGCCCCTCATTAAAGCTCCTCCCYCACATAACACAGGACAACACCCATTCTGAACCATCAAAGTACACCATCACCCGACCTATAACACAAAAAGTTCTGATACATCCTGGACTGAGAGTTTTTCAGTTCCTCTGAAACTCAGAGCCAAATCATAAAACTCCATGATCTGGGCAAGCCCCTACGTGTTTTATCRAGGGAGTATATAGAAGCTTTATAATCAATGTCATGTAACTATAGATCTGAATTGTACAGTTTTAGAGACCAATCATTCTCACCAGATCTACCCTGTTATAGTTCAYGTGCACACACTGCTATGCGCCTACCCCACACTGAGACCACAGGGTGAGACATGAGAGCCCCGGGGAGAACTGGGAGGAGCCTCAGGGATGGATATAGCCCCAGAAGAAAAGTCTTAAAGATAGTCTAGATTTGTGGAAGCCAATATTAGAAAAATAAACCATCCCTACATCCTCCTCAGGCCATTCGCAACAATATCTTGGCTTCAGTAACTAGTAACTTCATTTTTCATTGATAGGGTAAGGAAAAATGCCAAAAAAATTAATTAGAAAAATAAGCCATCAAAACTGATATAAGACACTAATTATAATGGGTCTTCCACCTATCATGGTCTCATCATAGGCTCTTCAATCTGTGAATGGCAGATAGGCAAATGGTGACAGAGATACTGGAAAAGAAGGAAACAGGTAGAAATGATCCACAGACTCATCTGTATGAAAAAGTATGAAGTTAACCTAAAAGAAAAGRAGAATAAAAAAGAAAAAGAACACACTTTCTTCATTTTCAGAGATATTAATATTGTTTTGAAAAGCCATGAGTTTCTTGCTGCTCTGGAAATTAAAGATAATTTTGTATAAGTTTGTGTCCTTGAAGTTTAGAGGAGGATCTCTGAAGCCGGTCTCCAAAGTTCACAGGTGGGAAGAGAGGGGATGTATTAAATTAAAAGTCTATGTGCATCTAGAACTTCAAAATAGGACTTTATGTATAAATAGAGTCTTTGCAGATATAAATTAAGTTAAGAAGAAGTCATAGTGGATTGGGAGGGTCCCTGACCTAATGACTGAGATATCCTTATAAGAAAAGGGAAATCTGGACACAGACAAATGCAGAAGAACACATTATATAAACAGAGATTTGAGTGAAAAAAAAATGTCAAAGATTGTCAGAAAATACCAGAATCTAGGAAAAAGCAAGGAAGGATTTTTCTATACACTGCTGGGGGAAGCATGGCTTTGTCAATCTTTCATTTTGAACTTCTAGACTGAAGAMCTATGAAAGGATACACTCTATTGTGATAAGCCACCCAGTTTGTGGTACCTTGTTAAACAGCCTTAGAAGAACAATAGAGCACACACGGCCAAGCAGCTCATGTAACAAGGCGAGCATACACATGTGCTGACCTCCACTGACAAGAAGATYGCACAGCAGGATTCCACTGCGTATTTCCTCAGTCTTTACATCCTTGTCCTACTAATCATTTTGTTACTAAAATAATCTAATCTTGAGCTAGCCAGTGAGGAATAGAGGTGTATATAGTGGGTGGGGAGGATGGTATTTTATAGATCTCTTTTGTTGATGAAAGCAGAATTTTCTGAGACACTATATGTGGGTGAGGGAAAGTTACACAAGAGACAAATCAGTTGTTTTGTTTTTGCACAGTGCGATTGAATTGAGGAGAACTTACCACTGACCTACATCCCCAGCTCTTTAAATTTTTAAATTTTGAGATAAGGTCTCATTAAGTTGCTCAGGCTGGCCTCAAACTTGTGATCTTCCTGCCTTAGCCTCCCAAATTTCTGGGATTATAGGCATGTGCCACTGGACCTAATGAAAAGTCAGTCTTATAGCTGCCACTGTTGACATAAAAATGATCATCTGAGGACCTTTACCCAAGGTATACATGTAGAAGGAAAATTCTATTTGAAATTTTAAAAATTTTGTGGCCATTCTGTGGGTGTGTAAGAGGGCAAAAGAAAACAATTTACATTTTCTATATATTAGGAGAAAGGTATAGATAGAGGGAAAGGATAAATGCTATCCCCTTTTGCTCCCAGAGGTCAAGCCTAATATTTATAAAAGAGACTAAATAGAGTCTCTTTCCTGACCCAGAAGGCTAAAGCTGGATGTGGAGAATAGCTTGCCCCTGTGGGAAAGTACCTTGATATATGGAGAAACAAAGGCAGATTTGGAGCTAAATTTGGAATGGGAGACAGGGATCTAAATTGTCAATGAATTACACAACTCTGGCTTTCCAGGAGCAGCCTACAAAAAGGATTGATGGGCCAAGGAAAATGAGAGTGGAGAGAATGTGAAGATGGTCTGGAAAAAAAGCTTCCTGGCCAGAGCAACATGGGAGCTGGCTGGTCCTGGGGGGAAACGGGTCAGTAGGAGATGCCCATGAGAGGGTGGCTGAGGAATGCTAATGGTAGTATTTTTAACCATTTTCTGTGCTTCAAAAAAGCCTTCTTAATGACCTTCACATCATCAGCAAATATCTAATAGAATCAATGTCTTACATTTGAGATGCTTTGGAAAAACTTTAAAATGGACTAAGAACTGTGTTCGATTAACAGGAATAACAGACACAGAGTTAAGACACATGTGAGATCAAAAATTCAGCATAGTTTAAGAAACTCAGAGATGGAAGCCAGCTGCAGTGATGCACACCTGTAATCCCAGGGGCTCTGGCTCCCAGCTCCCGGGACTGAGGAAGGAGGATCAAGAGTTTAAAGCCAGAGTCACCAACTTAGAGAGGCAATTAGACTCTATCTCTAATAAAATATGAAATTTAAAAAAGGATTGGTGATGTGGCTCAGTGATTAAGCAACCCTGAGTTCAATCCCCAGTACCAAAAAGAAAGAAACAAAGAAACTCAGAGATGTAGTAATTAAGTAATTAAGAGATAGTTAAGTTCCCTAACAATTCCTATGGGTATTGAGGGGTGGAGAAACATTGAATGTTTTCTTCTGTGTGTGGGAGAGATTACTGCCCCTTCATTTGACTATTAAAGGAAAAGGTGACCCTATAGGGGCTGGGATTGTAGCTGAGCAGCAGAGTGCTTGCCTCCCAGTGTGAAGCACTGAGTTCTGGATCCCCAGCACCACATAAAAATAAATAAATAAACAAAATAAAGGTATTGTGTCCATCTACAACTAAAAAAAAAATTTTAAATGGTGATACTATAAAACTGGATGACTTGGCATGCAGCTACGTGTKAGTTACATAATAAATTGAAGCAAATGAGCTTATTTATTGTAATTCTCTTTTAAAAGAAGTGGACTAGGGGCTGGGATGTAGTTCAGTGATACAGTGTTTGTCTAGCATGTGTAAGGCCTTGACGTTGATCCCCAGAGCCACCAAAAAAGGGGTGGGAGGTGGACTTTTGCAAAAAGTTTATAAGTAAAACTACTTGCATTTGTAAACCTAGTCAATAGCTTTTAGATATTTTGTTTAATCCTTAGACTAGCCTTGTGAAATGCACAGGTCAGGTAATATTATCCCCATACAATACATGAGGGACTAAATCTCAAAGATAAAATAGCTCCTCTAAAGTCACACAAATGATTAAGGGCCGAGCTGAGAAACCTAGCTTTCCAAATTATAATTAATTGCTTCTTCCACTACACCACTTGGCAAAGAATTTGCATGCAATCCTAGAGAACTCAAGTGGCAAAAGATTTGGATATTGGGGGATTAGCTAAATCATTTTCTTCACTTTCAGTGAATAATGGTCCTTCAAGGATTTCAAAGGAAAGAATGTTTGCTTCTTTCTCAGTTGAAAAATAGAGCTGATTTTCAAACCAGTTTGAGAGTAAAAACCACTGGAGAAATATGAACCTAGACATTCCATCTCACTCCTACTCAAAACCACTGTCCATTGGTATGTAGAAGGGAAAAAAGAATAAAATTTCAGGCTCCAACAATACGCTCTGCATCCAAGGCTTCCAAATCAAAATAATGTTTCATTTCATTCATTTACAGTATTTCTGAGTACCTCCTGTGTTCAAAGCTCTGTGCTAAAATCTGGCTAGAAAGTGGTTAATATTTGGTCCTTGTGAAAAGCTCTATTGGGAAAAATAGCCATTAAGCAACTATACACATAAATTAACATTGCAAACAGTGCTAAACTCCATAGGAGAAAAGAATGGACTAAAAGGAAAGAACTAATCCAGATTACTATGGGTAGATTATCTAAAGTCTTGAGGAAGCAATATTTGAACTGAAGCATTAAGGGTACACAGGGGTCAGCCAAGAGTAGAGGGAGTTTCAGGCAAAGGGGACAGTATATGCAAAGGCTTAGGTCATAAAACATTTCTGGCATATAAGAAAACCAAACAAGTTAGTTTGACTGGAATATGGAAAGCAGAGGGGTTAGTGTTATTAGATGATATTGGGGGAGAAGTTGGGAACCAGGTCTCATGCCTATTGAATCAGGCAACCATTGAAATGTTTTAAACTGCAAAGTGAAATAATGTGATGGATGTTTTCAAAAGAGTACCATGGCTGCTGTCTGAAGAACGGTTAGAAGAGGGAGAAAAAGAAAAAGTAAGAAAACTGATCCAAATGAGGGATAATGGTGAATTAGACTGAGTAGTAGCAGTGGAGATAGAAAAGCCTGGATTTAAAAAAAAATAGACAAAACAAAAAGTTGCTTCATTGAAAAAATAAATAAAATAGATAAACCCCTAGTCAGGCTAAAGAAGGAAAAAGGAAAGAAAACTCAAATTACTAAAATACGTGATGAAAAGGAAAAAAATCACAACAGACATGATTAAAATGCAGAAGGTGATTAGAAACTATTTTGAACATTTATACTCCAATAAAATAGAAAATATCTGTAAGGAAAATAAAAAAAGAGACACAGAGACAAGATGCAGAGGCAGCAAAGATGGCTGCTTAGAAATTTCCTTAGCCAC